GCTTAAACAGATGCTATCTCTGTCCAATACGTTGGAGTTATTCCAGTCAATCACAGTTTAGAACTTAAGCTGATGAAAACACGTTGTGATATACCACGAAATTAATATTTGTAACAACGACTATCGCCAAATCACCAATGCAGGTAGGGGATTGAGGTAGAGAATGTGGGAACTCCCTGCTTAATTGGGGATTTGATTTTAAAACACTCTGATTGAGGACAGGAAGGCGACCAAAATAAATCTGCAGCACCCATTGCAACATTTGGGATTTTTATATTTTCTCTCTCTGCCTAAGTATCTTTAGTTAGCTGTCACAAAGAGACATATACACAAAAACACTGTCTACCTTAGTTCGTATCGAAGCAAATCCACAGGCTGGTAACTATAGGTTAATATTTTGTAGAAAACGCTGACCTCAGACAACATACACCAGGTCAAGTGCATGTTGAATATCCTCGCTTTTTGTTACAGATATATAAGTCATCATACCTGCAGTGATGTCACATAACAATATACCACAGCCTCAACACACGGACAAAATATACCGCAGAGCCAACGCACAAAGACAAGACGATTTGTCACTATGACAATGTAGAGAGTATCGGGTAGATGACTACTAAAACATCGAAACCTTCTCTTTAAGGTGAGGTGAGGCGGTAGGAGCTGCGGATAGTTGTAGGCTAGGCGATTGGGTGTCAAAGAACGTGAGGCAGAGGCCCGGAGAGGACACGAGTCATAAGATTGTCTTCTTTCGTCACTTATGTTTCTATGTCAATTCTCAATTAATATACATAATCTTTATATTCACTGGTGTATGTTGATCCGGAGGTAATTTAAAATGAAAACATCTCAACAACACATCCTTGCTGGTACATTCATCTCATCAAGGATGCTCTTCTGACTAAAGAGTCTGAGGGATCCTCTTGTAGAGATGACAGCAATGAGGACTGATGACAATATTGTTTTCTTTTTGAATTATTTCTTCGTTCGAGACCATCAACAAACTTTTTAAAGAACAACCGAAGCTTGAAACATGTGTTCCCAATCGGAAAGATCGTACAGAGGAAGTTGTCCCTTCTCGTCTCCGTACTGGTTACACTTATCCTACTCATTCGTACCTTTTAAAACGAGAAGATCCACCTACATGCCACGCATGTGACACTCCATTTACAGTGGAACATTTTATTAGAATGTTCTGATTTCAGACACATTCGTGATACTTACTTTCGAGTCCTGGATATGAAAATCCCTTTCATTTCCGTGGACTCATCATTTAACTTTTTAAAAGACATCGGTCTACTTTATAGACTCTGAAGTCTTTTAACCCACAAATTTACCTCTTTGACGTTATCTATAGATAACATGTTCTATATTATGTATTCATCATCACTTTCACTTTTATCATTTTAACCCCTTTCATATTTTAATTATTTACACATACCCTGCTAATGCTTTTAAAATATTTAATTTTATCTGGTTTTATCTACGCTGCTCGCATCATGTTTAAAACAACAAAATCACCATGGCCCTAACTGATCATAGTTGTCTAGGAATCAGACCTTAACCCACATACAAGGACAATGGAACACTGTATTGTATGAGAATATAGTGTATCGGAAAAAATTGTCTGGTGGAAGAATTGTGATTAATTTTAGTACATGTACCTGCAATGTCCTACCGACAACTGATCATCTCCTAACAAAGAGGGAATACCATCACAGACGAACTATTAAGTACAAGGCCAGGGCGTGTTTTGTATTACAAGACTCAACTAATCTCTATTCATATTCCTTCCGTAGTGTTTTGCAATTCACTGGTTCTATTCAATGTGACAATTCAAAGATAGTAATATGTATAAATAGCCTTGGTGGGCTACTTTTTAAGAACAAAAAGATAACAAAAAATAAAATTAACACCACTTTCTTAATGCAGCTTTGCAGTAATTATCTCGAACTGCTATAGTTTTCATTAAAATATAACAGTGAACATGTATGGTTTTTTTTATGTTTCATTTTGATAACTAATTCAAATGAAGAATTAAAACCCACGACACAGTCCTGTTCCCTACTTAGTGGCACAGCGTCTTGAAGATTGATGAATTGCCAATGTTGCCCGTCAATAAACCTCCTGTGTGTGCTGTCTAGAATACTGAAAAGAATTTATCCACTGCCTTCTAATGAAGGACATTTTGGATACAATAAAGACGAAGGCAAATGTGATCATAAGCAAAGTACCTTTAAATATTAAAAGCACGTTTAATAAGTTTAGTTTGATAAAACAAATAAAATACATAAAAACCGATCTTTCTCTATGCAAAATGTTGACGAAACAGCGACCAGAAGTTTAAATTAAAGCTATAGAAAGTTAGTTGGATAATTGGTAATGCATTCTTAAAAGGAGAAAAGTTATCATTTCTAAAGTACACGAGTAAACAAAACCGAAGAATGGCGCGATGTACATGTCGTTCCGACAAACTTCTGGTTTTTAAAGTTAATAATGATAATAGATAAATGTATACCTATATCTCAACGAGGTTGATAAAAGAAATATAAGTTTTATGATAGCGTATCCTGAGTATTATTGAATACCATTATAATCCATTGGAAAAAAATCATTAAAATTGACTGGTGATGGATTATGCCTTTTGATGAACGCTGTACTTACTTTCTTAAAAAGACAATGCCTTTGACTATAAGATAATGTTTATTCTATCAACTAATATATTTACCAGTTCCATATGACAATGAATACGATAAACATGAGACCTTGCTACGTGTAAGATAGTGAGGCAAAAAAAAACAAAAAAATATCTGGTGACAAAATGAGATAAGAAGGCAAGGTCAACTGGTAAAACTGGTGACACGTCAAGGAAACAGCAAACAAGATGGTTTGGTTTTCTTTAACCATTATTATTTTATTGTCAACAAAGTTGATACAGGCGACACCTCCCGGTAACAGGGATGACCTCCAGGATCAAGAGATAACCGAACTTAAGAAGATGATGGTGTTACAGTCAGAGTTGATCCAATCACAGGCAGAGATGTTACAGGAGTATGGAAAACGAATAGGTATCAAAATTTAACCCAGCTATGATCACAAATCGTAAAAAAATGATTACATTTACAAATATGTCCATACAGAAATAGTTTATGAGTTTGGGTAAAGTTTTCCCCTGATTCACCATTCTTATTTATTTTTACCCGAAAATATTGTTTGAATACTACAACGGTTTTGGGCCTGTATTCAATATCCTTACAAAAATTGCTCCCAAACAAAAGTGTTCTCATTCGTTTATTTACATTTTTAAAATTAAGCTAACAATCACTACACTTTGAGTTAAACAAAATGTTTGCCCATGTACAACCTATATGATGTTGTGTTGTTTTTAATAAAACTTTATTTTTATTTTTTATGAAGCTGAATTACAAATGGATATTAGAAAAGAAATAAGAGATATAAATCAGAAAATACCACAGTCTCCTCTTTTTTTGGTGGACATCTTGCAATTTCCCTACAGTACAACAAGGTTGGCAATAACCAAGCTTTAGAGCAAGAACGGTTATTACATTTTCAACATAAAACGTAGATAATCTTTAATTTTTTCTCAATATTAACGTTTTCAACGTTCCCCCATCATTTTTTTCTGATACGGTTGTAAAATGGCTATACAAAAGTGTGGTAAATACATTGATGTTTTTGTCCTGTTGTGTTCACAATGATACATTCTTTATATTATTTTACTTGATAGCTTCACTGGAAAAAGAAAACAGTGACCTTGTCAAACGCACAGAGAAGTTTCACACCGCTAATGAAATAATGGAATCTAGACAAAGCCATCTGAAGCAAGTGGACTTGGACACCCGCCCTGAGGTGAATGTTCACGTCAATACCGGACAATCGATAGAAGAGATCGAGGATCAGGAGAACGGCCAACTTCAGTCACCAGGAAATCAAGGTGAGGTAGCAGTATACAGTAGAAATGGCCCGACTCTGATAAACAAGGCACATGTCGAGGAAATGCAAACACAGCGGATTTACCCTACACAACACATGCATACATGTATATATATTTGTAAACTGCATTACAATAACAATACATAGAAAGTACTGACAAGTGTATAAACCTCTTTTTTCTATGTATGTCACTTGTATGAAAAACATGGTTATCACATCAAAATTTAACAAAAAATGCCAAAAATTGCTATTTTTAACCCAAAATTTGACCCCCGCAACTAGTATTTTTTTTCCTAAGCTCTGTCTGAAATTAAATATTACCTACCTGGTTGCAGAATTAGCTGGGTCCCAGTAAAGTTGTAAAACCTTTTTTTTGCAATTTTGGTTCGTGGGCTGTTGTCAAAATTTCACCTCCTGTAAAGCTAGCTTTTCATGTGTACGTACCCTTTCGGATTATAGCCAAAATTTTATTCTCGAACCAAAAAAATCTTCTTTCTTTTATGCAAATGTGAAGAGCACATAGCCCACTTCATCAAGCTTATACCAATTTTAGTACAGTTTTATTTTTATCTTTTTTTTACATATCAATATACAGGGGTTAGCCATTTAACAAAAATATCACCCATGGCCACAACCCTCTACTGTATACTGCTACCTGAATTTGTAGATTCTAAAACTATTCTAGCTTCACCTGAAAGTAGATTTTTCGCCGATTATGATTAATTTACCCGAGTTCCATTGCAGTTATCATCCGATAACCTAAACTAAATAGAAAATTAATTCTTATATTTATAGCATTTTTCTGTAATATTACATAACAAGCATTCAATTCAAGCCCGATGTGTGATACAAATTGTACGGTTACGCTTCGCGCCAAGCTTCGAAGACTACTGTGACATGATACGACCAAACTAGGACTTATACGAACGAAATCGGCTGCATATCTTCAATATTAACATTAAATTGGTTTGTATGTCCGCTCTTAAACATGTAATCATAACTCATTAGCAATAATTCTTACTTCAAAGTTGCTCTATGCGGCTATTTTTAGCACAACTTGAAAAGTTGCGTAACTCGATGCCCTCGTACAATATTTCATTCGCACTCGTAAACTGTTATAATTAAATCATATCGGTGTCATTCCATTATAAGTTTATCTCAACAGTTATATATTTAATACCCAAAGGTGTCCTGTTCAATTCCGGAACACTATAAAATGGCACCAACAGCTCTTAGTTTTTGAACTCTCCTGTGCTTTTGTAGACGCTACGGCAACGGTTACTAGGCATAGTGTCTTCAAAACCACAAACACACAAGTTATTTTAAAATTTTGATTTTAACTTCAACCATTACAAAACCGAGTTTGCGTGCTGTGATCTCACTATAAGTATTTAGGCAGGCAAATGACATGTAGGTCATGTAAATTTATCGAATCCGTTCTGTGATTACCATTATCTACCGGCCTTATCGAGTGCAGTTGAAAATATTACGGCTAAATTGCCGTATATCGAACGTTATTGTCAAAATTAGATTTAATATCGTATTTCTGGGTATTGTTTACATTATGTCATCAGAGTAAACGTATGTAAATGAACACAAACACGTAAAAAACCCACAAAATCCAGTCGTACTCTCAGTCGGTGAAGTAATTAATCATCGGGCACTGTAAACAACGTGACGTCATCGGGAGGTATACATTTCAACAATCTATGTATATATTTTAACAATGTATCTTTTGCATGAATACACTGAATGAGTTGTACAAATCTGGTATCCCCGGTAATTCTGTTTACTTCCGAAAATAGCAATGGAAACCCCCGGGTTGTTAATTGACACATATGTACACGGTGTATGTATCACTACGCGCACGAGAATGACTGTCCTTATCGAATGATAATGACAATGACCTCAACAAAGGTTATTGAGTCAGTTAAATTTGAAACTGTAAATATTGAATGTTTAATTAATATAATTAGGTTTTATGTTGATCTGAATTCTATTAATGTCTGAATTGAAAGTTAGTTACGCTAGGCCTAACGAGCATTCCGCAAAAAGAACTGGTTATCTATTGTTGTTTTCTGATATGATTCGTGTAATTGATACACTAAAAATCGTTATACTCAATTTCTTCATAAAACATCAAATTCCAAGATTGCTCATCATGCAAAATAAAATATAAGTAAATTCGATTACCTATGTGCTTGTTGTACATTTACAGCTGACGGCAAACTACCGCGGATACGGAGAGTAGCTAATGTACCCGGCAGTGAGTGTTTATAGTTATTAGTACTATTTTATTAGTTAAGGTGGCAATTCCAAAACAACATAATTTCACAAAAGTCAAATAAGAAACAAGTAAACATGTTTTGGTTTCGGTTTTGGTTTAGTATTGTTTAACGTCCTATCAACAGCTAGGGTTATTAAAGGACGGCCACCCCTGTATGCAAGATTCATGCGTGTAGTGTATGCGTGTGTGTTTTGGAAGGCTGCGATATGTTCGTGTTTGTCTCCTTGTGATACCTGTAGCGCGGAACTGTTGCCGACTTTATAGTACTACCTCACTGAAACATACTGCCAAAGACACTCAGCAGGACACCCCACCCGGTTACATTATATTGACAAGAAGTGATCCAGTCGTCCCTCTCCTAAATTGCTTAGCGTTAAGCAGGAGTAGAAACTACCTTTTTTATAGACTCTGGTATGTCTCGTTCAGGGGACAGAACCAAAAGCCTTCTTCACAGGGGCGAACGCTCAAATAAAGGCCAAAAGTGAGGCATAGTCAAGGGAGACATTAGGAAGAAGAAAGTTGTTTAGAACGAAGAAAAATAACATCCCAAATCTAGTCGCCTCTTACGATCATGCAATGGGGGCAGCAGATACAATTCTTACGCTCTACCTGCAGGGACAAGTAAATATATAATGAAAGTTTGGGTAACAAGTAAACATGTAATGGAGGTTTGGTTTCTGTGTATAAGAACATATAATGAAAGTTAGGGTAACAAGTGAACATGTAATGGAGGTGTGGTGTATGTGTATAAGAACATATAATGAAAGATTTGGTAACAAGTAAACATGTAATGGAGGTTTGGTTTCTGTGTATAAGAACATATAATGAAAGATTTGGTAACAAGTGAACATGTAATGGAGGTGTGGAATCTGTGTATAAGAACAAACAATGAAAGTTTGGGTCACAAGTAAACATGTAATGTAGGTGTGGTTAGTTCGGGGGTAGGGTTCTGGTGATGGAACTAACGTTTTCAAATTAGTTTATGTTATTTTCACTTCTACTATCAAGGCTCATTTTTCGTTTGTTTTGTAAATATAAGAACATATAATGAAAGTTTTGGTAACAAGTGAGCATGTAATGGTTGTGTGGTATCTGTGTATAAGAAAATATAATGAAAGTTTGGGTAAGAAGTGAACATGTAATGGAGTTGTGGTGTATGTGTATAAGAACAGATAATGAAAGATTTGGTAACAAGTAAACATGTAAGAACATATAATGAAAATTTGGGTAACAAGTGAACATGTATGGAGGTGTGGTGGATGTGTATAAGAACATACAATGAAAGATTGGGTAACAAGTAAACATTTAATGGAGGTGTGGTTTCTGTGTATAAGAACATACAATGAAAGATTGGGTAACAAGTAAACATTTAATGGAGGTGTGGTTTCCGTGTATAAGAACATATAAGGAAAGTTTGGGTAACAATTAAACATGTAATGGAGGGGTGGTTTCTGTGTATAAGAACATACAATGAAAGATTGGGTAACAAGTAAACATTTAATGGAGGTGTGGTTTCCGTGTATAAGAACATATAATTTTATTATTTAAGGTGGCAATTCCAAAACAACATAATGTCACAGAAGTCAAATAAGAAACAAGTAAACATGTAATGTAGGTGTGGTTAGTTCGGGTGTAGTGTTCGTTTGGTATCTGTGTATAAGAAAATATAATGAAAGTTTGGGGAACAAGTGAACATGTAATGGATGTGTGGTATCTGTGTATAAGAAAATATAATGAAAGTTTGGCTAACAAGTGAACATGTAATGGGGGTGTGGTGTATGTGTATAAGAACAGATAATGAAAGATTTGGTAACAAGTAAACATGTAAGAACATATAATGAACGTTTGGGTAACAAGTAAACATGTCATGGAGGTGTGGTTTCTGTGTATAAGAACATACAATGAAAGATTGGGTAACAAGTAAACATTTAATGGAGGTGTGGTTTCTGTGTATAAGAACATAGAATTTTATTAGTTAAGGTGGCAATTCCAAAACAACATAATTTCACAAAATTCAAATAAGAAACAAGTAAACATGTAAGAACATATAATGAACGTTTGGGTAACAAGTAACCATGTAATGGAGGAGTGGTATCTGTGTATAAGAACATACAATGAAAGATTGGGTAACAAGTAAACATTTAATGGAGGTGTGGTTTCTGTGTATAAGAACATATAATGAACGTTTGGGTAACAAGTAAACATGTCATGGAGGTGTGGTTTCTGTGTATAAGAACATATAATGAAAATTTGGGTAACAAGTGAACATGTATGGAGGTGTGGTGGATGTGTATAAGAACATATAATGAAAGTTAGGGTAACAAGTGAACATGTATGGAGGTGTGGTGGATGTGTATAAGAACATATAAGGAAAGTTTGGGTAACAAGGGAACATGTAATGGAGGTGGGGTATCTGTGTATAAGAACATATAAGGAAAGTTTGGGTAACAAGTAACCATGTAATGGAGGAGTGGTATCTGTGTATAAGAAAATATAATGAAAGTTTGGATAACAAGTAAACATGTAATGGAGGCGTGGTATCTGTGTATAAGAAAATATAATGAAAGTTTGGGAAACAAGTAAACATGTAAGAACATATAATGAAAATTTGGGTAACAAGTGAACATGTAATGGGGGTGTGGTGTATGTGTATAAGAACATATAATTTTATTATTTAAGGTGGCAATTCCAAAACAACATAATTTCACAAAATT